TTCCCCCTCTTGTGAGAGCCCGTAGAGCTCGCAGTCGAGGTTCCCCTACATCGGCGGCCCAGACGGTATGCAAGAATAGAGAGAAATATTGAAGGATATCTGCCGTACCCAGGTGGCCGTCAAATCTCTCCCAGAACGTTGCCATGATTTCGTACCCTGCTGCCTGCAGTGAGGAAGGCGAATCGTGACTGCAGAGTGCAGCCCACACTGGATTCAGCGCGGATGGTTGAGGCAGCGGTGATTGCGATGCTATAAGAGTAGCTAAGGAACGTGCATGTGTGAGACTTGGAACTGCAGGAGGTGTCAACGCCTCAACGAGGGCATCGAAGGTCAATGGCTGTGTCTGGGGTTGGACGGTAGTGGATATGGTGTCGGCTTTGCGTCGCCAGGCAAATGGGGCAAAGGTTGTCGTGTTTGATCTTTGTCTGAACCGGGCGTTGGCATCTGCATCCTGTTGCTGACGAGACATGTGCCGCGATGATACTTTATGGGCTTCAACTAAGCCAATCTGCAGAATGTGCGATGCTTTGACATACTAACGTACCTTCTACCCCAGATCCGAGTCAAGTCTGGCTATTTCTGGGCAGTAGATTTCGAAGCACTCGTCTCTATGAGAACCTGAAAGCGATGATTTTTATCGTAGGCCGCTGATGGAACTGCAAATCTGCAGTGTTGTGCACTGTGGAGACAAATTACCATTGGAAATGGGATTTGCCACCGTACGAACGGTTACTTATTATGTTACCGACCAAGTATCACGGATGAAAACACGATCGTCGACGTAGCTACGAAAAGTAATCAAGTACAATGTAATTAATACATAATCTCGAAGAGCTACTACGAGTTACATAACTAACTGACTCGCTAGAATAATCAGGTCCCAGCCCCCATCCAAGATTAATCGCCCAAGCGGATTGCCTTCTCCCTGTCCGTTGATCGGGGGACAAAAGAACACTGGAACGGCACGGGTCGGCTACAAAATCGGCAGTGGTGAGGATGCCGACGCTTCATGTCTCAAACACACAAGAACATACCAGACCACTCCAGAGGTGAACTCTTCTTTCACTTCAATTTCTTTCCCTGATTCGTCCTCTGCCTTCGTTATCCGGAACACTGCAAGGAGATGCACCGCCGCACTCCACGTCGCAGCTTCGGCGATGAAACGCCCTGGGCACCTAACCAGTTTGTAAAAAAAACGATTCCTGGATGGGTTTGATCTATTTACCCTCTCCTTCCAAAACCCCATATAGGTTTGGCTGCTATCGTGTCTGGTAAAAGTGTCCCGTCACTTGCAAAGTGCCTTTCCGGTCTGAAAACATCAGGATCATCGTGTCCTTCTCTGGACATGTCCCTGAAGAGGCGACTAAGTTACAAAGCCCAAGACTCGTTAAAAATTGATGCAAACCATATATTAGGCACAATGAGAGAGCCTACAGTGAAACACGCCACATTAGTAGGGATGCAAACATAGAGAATCACCCGACTAACCTTTTGGAATGAAATAGCCCTCAAAGACGTCGTCACTTGATGTTGCATGAGGAATACCTGTCGGAACAATGTTGAGAACGACATAGTTGACACATTAAGTCTCTCACCAACTGGTGCAACGATATGCCAACGAATGGCTTCCCGAAACACAGCCTCCACGTACTTTAAAGACGGTCGGTCATAAAAATCTGGCAGCCGATCAATGCCAACGACAGAATCAATTTCTTGTTGAGCGAGCCGCTGAGCCTCAGGATGCAAAACCATTGCTAGTATGAAAGAGGACAGCGTGGAAGAGCTCTGTATAATCCATCAGGCGATCTGTCCGCAGTCTACATCATAGTGTAGCATAGTGGACCCACCGTATCAAACCCAGCTATGAATATGTTGGCTCGTCACGTAACATAATGGAAAGCGAACGCACTCACCAACAAAGACAGTTAAGGCAACTTGCTTCACTGCCTGTTCTGAATAGGCGTGCTTTTCCCCGTCCATTTCGCTCAACAGATCCGATACCATTGACTTTGGCGCATTTCCGGCAGCCTTCAGCCCCTTGAGTATTCGCGCCCACAAGACTACTATGCCATGTGCTCACCATATTCCTTTTTACAAATTCAAATGGTTCATTCATAGACTCAAGTGCCAGCGTCCGCGTACGCTGCGCGATACGCTGGAATGATGCACCCGGAAACCAGGGAGGTAGTCGCGCGACTGCAACGAGGTAAGGTCAGAAGTTCTATCTCGAATAAATTTGCGTACGTATAGGGAATGCCGTGAGTATCGCACTTCTTTCTGGTTGAATGCCAACATTTATTAACTCCGCAAGTTTGGCGATAGATGTAATCGGAGGTCCATCCCAAGAGACTTTATCGTATCCGTAAGTTACCGACATGATGATCGAGGCTGTGTACCTGTTCCCATCTCAGTCTTTGTAGGCGTCGGTGGGCGAGGAATGGCTAGCTTACAAGAAAAGGTGCTTCTCGAACGCCTCAGGAGAGCCAAGAAGGTTAGACAACAGCTGGCGAGCTTTGTCCAAATAGAGATCTCGATAAGAATCTGCTGCGTCGGGGCGCAATGCTTGGTGAAACAATCGTCGATGAAGCCGGAATGTATCCCCATACGGAAGAAACGCGGTGATGAAGTCTATGCCAAAACTAACGATTTATCGCGATTAGAGCAAATAACAAGGGGGAAGTGCGACCTCACAGTTTGGGCACAGGACCTGCGGGACGGTCAGAGTATATCGCTGAGCGCTGATCAAGGAGTTGCCGTGCAACTTTCTCAGAGTTGATTATGATGACAGTCTGGCCGATCAGACGACATGATACAATGGGACCTACTGAAGATGTGAGAGGGAAAGGTAATCGAGATTGCAGTACTGACCGTATTTCGCCTTCCATTCACTATATGTACGCCATGGGCGCACCATATCAATGTCGCCGACATTCCCAAGGAATGGCAGTGAACGTGGTCCTGGCGGAAGGGGCAGCCCAGCTGACTTCCTTGACCAGGACCGGAGATACAGTAACAGCAAGACAGTTACGGCGAGGACATAGGGGAACAACATCTCCACGCTGCGAACTGGATATGATGCTGAGGTGGGTTGTGCAGAAAGCTAACCGTCGCACTCAAGAAGAGGAGCTTATTTTGTACTCTCCTGATATGGCTGGCATGGGACGTGCGAGTTGTATCAAAGCTTTGAATTTGAAAAGCTCGTGCCGAATAATCGCGATATCGATATAGTCACGGTGACAATTGATTGACATTATTTTTCAACCTGCCATTTTTATTACTGCTTGAGTACGTGTCGAACGACTGGTGTAACGATGCTAACCTTTAAAAGATGGTTTGTAAACGTTCCTCCCAATACTAGCACACTACTAGTAGACTGAGTTAACTTCGTACTTACTTGGTTAAGTCCGAGTCTCCTCTAGTATGTACTACGTATACCAGCAGGTGTTGCACACGTGCTGTGGATCCACTCAAACCCGAATATTATGTAGTACTAGTGGTCTCAGATGCGGCTCCAGATCGGAGCTTCCAACTTGAATGGGTGTTGTATCATGATCATGACATATGTAGTTAACACAGACTGTGTGCTGATTCCGGGCTCTTCTCGACTGACGTTATTTAGTAAAGGTTGGACCCGGAAACTGTGTCAGAAAAAGGTACGAAACTTAAGTACGTCCGAGCTCGCGGCAGCAATTTTTTCCAATACTAGTGCCGCCATCTCTTTGCATCCTCCTTCCTGGGACCTGCAGCCTAGTTACGCCGTCGCAGCGCATTAAAACAGTGCTGGGGCCCGGTACGTCCGTGCCAAGATCTAGCGCCAGATCCCCGGATCACACTCGCAGTCGACATCCCTCGTTGCCTCTTCCCATCGTCAGTTACCGCTATTGGCACGGCCATCACATTCTTTCTTTAGTGAGTTCTACTATGTCTTCTCCTAACTTGCAGTTCCACCTCGTTCTCTTCATCTCACCCAGCAGACCGAAGACTTGGTTTGGTTCATGATCAAAACTTCACATTTAGTACAGGATAAAACATTATCAAGATAACACCCCTTGAAGTTCCATATGAAGAGGGTGGCAGAACGGGGTTTCAAGATGGGGGCACGTGAAGAAGCCAAGAAGGTATGGGGAAACACTGCCCCAACTGGCCCCCAAGGAATGCGCAGCGGTAACTGCAATCGAAGTCCGTCCGTCGGTACTGATGCAGTCCGTAGGCTATAGAAAGTGAAAGCGCGGAGGAGTCACAGAAATTCGGAGCAGCTAGCTTGGCGATGGACGTTTAAGGTGACGCGAACAGAACAGCACAGAATAGGTGCGCGCGAGGGTTATATTGAGATATTTACAAGAAAACCAAATGACGAGGAAATATGCTTACCAAGCAGTGGTTGAGGTCTTTGCTACTGATGTAATTGGCACTCAAGTGAAGCGGGTTCAACTATTTTGGTAGAACATAGTAAACCCCATTTTTGCAACATGTGGAATTGTAATGAAAAAAAAAATTTAATGACATATTGATCAGTGCACTAGTAAGATAGACATCAATCATATACATGTAGATCACATGACTTTTCGTGACTTTTTCACTATAATGCCTAAGGATATTTGTAGAGATACCTTTAAGAGAATCTGTTCCATCAGATTGTTCGCATGCATGGTGCGGGCAATCTGATGGAACAGAATTCCTTATTTTGCATTTTTGAAGGAGTAGTAGTCTGTATAGTGATCAAAGTAGTGACTGCCATGTTACATTGTGGCTGTACAGTGTGACAGTGGTGCACCGACAGTTTGGCGTCGCCAAAACCATGATGCATTATGCCTCGCACAAGGCCTTCTCGAATTGCAAATCTGGGTGCCTATGATTACAGTAGGCCAAAGAAGAAAAAGTTAAACTGTACAAGCCACGAAAATGTGAGATAACACCAATTTTCATTGTGTTAGCTGGTGTATGTAGGACTAAAATCAAACTAAAGATGGTCCCCTTCCCTGGAAGCTATCCTACAAATCCACCGCTCACTTCCCGCGTCGTCAAAAGAAGTCGATCTCGAACGAAACGTCCTTCAGTCTTTGGACTCAGTTCCACTGCTTGCCATTCGTCGGTGAGTCCTTGTTGTGAATCATGGTTCCATTGGTAGCATGCTGACACTATGATATGCTAGGTTTTCTGCTCGCTCGTTGAGATTTATGGATGCCTATAGAAAAGGGCTAAACGGCAAGCAAGCGGCATGGGCCTCGAAGAAGTATCGCGGTCATCGAGTTTTACCTGAGACAATCATGCGAGATTTGACGGATGCGGGTTTGGTTGACAACACTTGTTGAATTCATGTCCTAAACACTTGTAACATATTGTTAGTATACCTCCGGATACCTCGATAGATGATAGAAGCTTCAAGCGTTGTTATCTTTTCCTCGCGCGCTGAAGGTCACACAATGTAACAGAACGTCACAGGAATGTCACGTCATGTGATGTCGATGGGTATGAGTGAAGCCTATCTTAGCTTGAATATTGTAAATATTAATTAGCCAGTCCTCGGTCCAAGTCCTTGCATTGTGGTCCGTGATCACTGCTGCCGGCATTAGTACTAGTCCGCCGGCATCAGATTCAAAGTCGAATGCTCCGTCCCATTCTCCCAGTCCAAAGCAATTTCTTTCTCATTCCAATTGTCTTTTAGTCGAGCCTGAGCGAACTCGTGATTAACGAGATGAATTTTGGAGCTTAAGTTCACAGAACAAAGTTTCTGGGCTCGAGATCTCTTCCGGCAACTTCCTTCTCTACTCCACTGCGATGCCGATCCTAATAAGTCGGCAATCAAACAGAGCTATAACATACCTCGACATATACTCTGATGGCAAGTGGAGAGCATCTGCTACAGCGCTATAATGATATTTTTTGGTGGTACGATTTTAGATTGGCACAGAACTTTCGCTGTTCATGTCGGTTCGTACATTCACACAAATTTATTGACATTATAATCTTTTTAATACAAGTTGTTTCTTTTAATTTCAACCATTCAGTTATATACCGTATTAATCTCGGTCAATCCTCGGCCTCAGCATGCACTACGAGTCTATGAGTTTTGTCTTTGGTTACAGCCTGTTCTCATGCATGTTGTTGTCACTGCAGAGAATTAACTCCAATTTTTTGCCTCAAGTTTCTGCCGACACAGCTGGAGAGGACAGGAGGCACTTGGAACATATTGTGAAATCAGTCTGGCAACCTCGGTATCAGATGCCGGCAAGTCGTCAATTGAGTTGGCTCGTCATCCGATCACGGTGATATCTTGAGTTCTGCCGCCGCATCTCCCCGGGTTCGACTGTCTAGCGCCTGCGCTGTCACGCGTCATATGGCAGAGGTTGAAAAAATTAATCGGTCAGTCTGTCCATGAATCAGAATGACAATAAGTTGCGTCGATTGGATATGTTCCTAAACAGATTGAACCATTAAGAATCGACGCACATGAATGCATAATCTCCCATTGAAGTATTATGGGTAAACGTGTGAAAGGACATCGTGTATGTAAACTCTGTCGGCATAGTCGTGTAGTACTAGACGACTTTTACCACGGTAAAATGATAACCGCCAGAGCTCCAAGTGGACCAGTGCTATCAGATAACGTGTACAGGACACTGGGAATACACCAATATAGGTAAACAGATACAAGGCAAGGATACCGAGTAACTCGGCAGTGACGTAGTGTGCTTTATCATAATCAGATGGATATAACTTACTATTATGTGCGGCTTGATAGGAGAAATCTAGAAAGCTAAGCGATGATAGAATAGAATATGCAGGGTCCCTATCGCGTGATCGAAGTGGGTAAGGATACTCTCTTTGGTTGGCTTCTTCCCTTTGACAGGGGCGATGATGTGTGCAGGGCTGGTTGAATTACCGAACGAACATTACGATCACGAGGAGCAACTTCTCCGCATTTCACGTGAGCCCTGCAGTTATAGTAGTCATGTATCAGATACGCTATAATCAGAGGTCAGGAACCTACCGCAGCCCACAATCGTCACACTGCAAAACAGGTTTCCAACCAATCCTCTTTGAACATATATCACACTTCTGCACGAGTAATCCGCTGGAGAAGATCAGTTCTAACGGGTTCCATCCTCCGTCGGCATGACGTGTTGGCGATACCGATCCGCTGGTACGCTTTATGCCAGGTTTCAGTAAAGTAAAGCGGTGAAGCATGGGGGGAGAACCGATGGAGGAGTGGCCTTTCGTCGCTGTGGTGGAACACTGGATGGATGACTGAGCAGTCTGATAACTCTGCGCAGACATGATGGAGTCGCTGCTTGTTGGAGTATTACTACCTGGGGTAGTGGGTTCCGCCGTTCCGTTTGGGTCAAGTGCAGGTCGAATAGTGATAATGGAAGACAAAGATGTCGGCATGTCATCTGTAGTTGTGGGAACATGGGCCTGGTCGACGGCGGCGCTGTATTCTGACAATGTACTAGAGTTACTGACGAGAAGAGGTTGGGTGCTATCACCCGAGTGTCCTGAGTGTCAACAATCGAAGCACGTTACTAGAAGTCGTCGGAACTCTAAAGTGATAATCTTACCGTTGGCAGCCGTGCTCCAATCGCTGTTTGGATCCAGACCTTGCATGGCGCCCAAGGGCTCTTCGTCGCTACTTTCCTCGCCGCTGGACAGAGCCGCAAGAACATCCTCTTTAACGGAGGCTGTATTGTGCCTGATGTCCTTCCCAACACCAGCCCCAAAACTTGGGATGCGGGGAGCAGCACCCGGGCGTCTGCCTCCTGTCATAAGCCTGATACTCCCAACGTGAAAGTCATCAGTGTCTGGACGTGACAAGACCTCCGTTTCGATTTCGCCTAGCCTGTCTAAAATAACGCGAGTGGTGGGGCGTGCCTTTGGATCCTGAGCAAGACAGTCGAACGCAAGAGCAAGGAACGCCGGTGGACAACCGGAGCTAGCCCACCGGTGCACCTCCTCGGGGTCAATGCCAAACGTTGGGCCAGTACGTTTGAAATGGCGATCATCAGCTAGCCTCCGCGCGGCGATCTCACAGAAGATGATGCCGAGAGAAAAAATGTCTGTGGGCAAATCGAACTCCTCGCCAAGTAGAATTTCGGGTGACATGTACGAGTCAGTCCCGCAGAAGGTGAGACGTTTGCTTTCCTCTTCGTTGCGAGCAGCAATCCGAGCGAAACCAAAATCGGTGATCTTCAATCTGCCGTTTGCGGTGACAAGAAGATTTTCGCCTTTCAAATCGCGGTGTATGCACTTTCGTGCATGAAGGTATGCTAGAGCACGGGAAATGTCTGTAGCAAAAGAAAGCCGGAGGCGCCATGGAAAAGGTTTCGTCTTGTCGAATATGTATGTTCTGAGATTTCCTGGATGAACAGTATGAAGAGAAGTAGAAGATAAAGTTCAAAAACTGGACGGACCATTCTCAATATACTCTGATATTATGAATATTCGTCCATCTGGAGGCGGGGCACGCGACAGGCCGAGGTAAAGTACAACATTTGGATGACGAGCTTCTCTGAAGCGACGCTCAACGACAGTCTGTGTTTAGGTCTGCAAGCTTACTTCATTAACCTCCATTCCCTCTCAAAATATTTGGCGACGTTGTAACTGCTGGATGGCAGGACTTCTTTGATTGCGACATCAATGCCCAGGTATGATCCTGTACATTAGGTTAGCTTGGATGGATATTTGATCGAATGAGATACCTTTATAAACATTCCCAAAAGAACCTGAACCTAGCTTCTTCCAGTCCCCCTTGATGTCCTTTCAACAAGACAGGTGGGTGTGGTTTGGGGTTACTTATATGAGTAGCACGTACCTCGAATGGTATAACGTCGAATGGGTCGGACATGAGGTGATCGTACCAAATCCGCTGGTCTACAGAGGTTCAATGAAAGAGGTGTTTGAAGAAAAAAAATGGTCACACTGAGAGCTACGGTGCAGGAAGCAAGGCCGGCATCATAGGCCAGGCTGACCGTTTGTGAGACAGAATGTATATGTTTCACGTGGTTCAGTGCAAATGTCAATTAGTCAGGTATCCTTTTTGGGTATCATTGCAAGTTCGTTGGCAGTTTATAATCACAAGTTTGGCTGTCACTGATTAGCTAGTACTCAGCGTCCAATATGATAGTCTGTGAACTTTTCAGCTCTTATCCAACTCTTATCTCAATATAAATAAGTGCGGAGGTCACTTGTTCGCTCGTGTGGAGGTATATCTTGAAACGCACACTGACTTGAAATCAGGAACTTGTTTCTTGTTCTTGGCTGCCAACCATGGCGCAAAGCGGGGTTTTGGTCGATTTCTTTAAGCCTTCCAGATGGGCTCTCGAACGTGAAGAAACGACTTTCGCGAACAATGGATGGAGCAACAAGGACATGGATCCGGTACCTCTTCGTCTGAGAACATGGACGTAAGCACGATAGTTGTTGACCGTTTAGCTGTTTCATAACCTCGACGATTCCTCATAGCACCTGGAATTATGTAGGACATGCCATGATTATTACCACAGTAAAAATTACTAATGAGTGTTTGTTAGATATCCTATTGGATCTCCGATGCTACCAATCTCGCAGTTTGGGAGTTGGCTAGCTCCATGCTTGCAATCGGTTTATCTTGGTATGACTGCTCGAACGAGTTCTCAACTCCAACAGCACATTTTATCTGACGTTGCATTATCTGCTAGGCGTCAGGCTTTGCCATGTATTGCGGTTGCATATGCGATTATCTCCGTAGTGATGGTTTTGACCGGCACAATAGGCGCTCGTCTCCATGTTGCCTTCCCTGTATTAAATCGATCGTCTTTCGGCTTCTGGTTCAGTTACTTCACTGTCTTCAGTCGCGTCCTGTTATCCATGTTCTGGTTCGGTATACAGGTAATTATTATGGGTGTGCGATTAGTGACAGGAATCCTCATGCATGCATTTAGACATACAACGGGTCGCAATGCGTGTATCAGGTACATCGAATCGTGCTCTATTAATCTTTGGTCATATTGACTCGAAATATGACACAGATGCTTAAAGCCATTTGGCCTTCGATTGCAAGGATGCCCAATCAATTACCAGTCTCCGCGAATATTACCAGCTCTGGTGCATCATTTCCCCTGCTGCCCTTGTTATATGCTTACCCAAACAATTTATCAGGATTTTTGTGTTACTTTCTTTATTGGCTCATCCAGCTTCCGTTTCTTTTCGTAACTCCTCACAAAATCCGTTGGTTATTCTTCGCAAAGGGTGTCCTCACACCCATAGCATGGCTTGCAATGATCATATGGGCATTTGTTAAGGTCCCCGCCTCACAGGGCTTGTTTTCCCAGCATGCAGCTATCGAGGGCAGCAACTTTTCATGGGCATGGCTCAGCGCGATGAACAGCGCCTTGGGAATTTATGCCAGTTTGTCGGTCAACATTCCCGATTTTACTGTAAGTCAGATGAATTTGCATGTCTTCTACCACATTGACTTACAAAAACTTGCAGCGCTACGCCAAGAATGAACGAGCGTATGAATTCCAATCTGAGATCGACGCTCTTATCTAATGGGTTTTTAGTCAATATATCCAACCGTTCATCATACCCATCGCATTTACGCTGTGCAGCTTTGTTGGAATTGCTGTGACTAGTGCTGGAATACAGCTCTACGGCGAGGTCCTGTGGAACCCTCTTCTGTTAATTGATCGTTGGGACAATCGGGCTGCAGCCTTTTTCGCCTCCTTTGTATTTGCATTGACTACTATTGGTACCAACATCAGCGCCAATTCGCTCGGGGCGGGAAATGATATGACAGCTCTGTGTCCCAAGGTTAGCGTCGTCTATACTCTCCACAGACAATTGCTTATTTCAAACAGTACATCAATATCAGGCGCGGACAAATATTGTGTGCGATTATTGGTGGCTGGGCTCTGTGTCCATGGGAGATTCTCGCCAAGTAAGTCTTTGCCATATGTTACCTTTGTCGAGACCTTATCATCCACTGATAGTGCCACGGGGTTCCTGAGTTTTATGAACGGATACACCATTTTCCTTGGCCCTTTTGCTGGTATCATGGTCACTGATGTGGGTACAATTTACAAGCATGCCCGCTCGTGCCTAGTCGATTCACATCCTGCGCTGTACAGTTTTACCTGGTGCATAAAGGCTGCGTCGACGTTCCCGCTATGTATGACCCTTCAGGACGATATCGCTACACTGGGGGATTTGTAAGCTTTGATACTGCTCGCTATGTTCTGCCTCATGATATATTTGTCTGCTTATATAGAACTGGCGTGCAGTGCTGGCGATGATAGTAACTGTTGCCCCCACGCTTCCCGGCCTTATCAATGCGATCAATCCAGCTATCAAGATAGGGTACGCAACCCATTTATTTGACATCGCGTGGATGTATGGGGTACGGCACTCCTGGTTTCCTTCACATGTGTCTTGCTCACATTATAATAGTTTATTGTTGCATCACTGGTGTATTACGTTGCATCGTACTTCTTCCCTGCTCATGATACCTTTGTTGATGGCCTAATCTCTGCGGACCACGTCCTGCCCATAGACAAGCAATACGACGAGGACAGGAAATCTCCCATAGAAACAATGCAGAGTGGTACTGAGGGGCGAGGATAAGAAAAGCGTAAAAATCGAGACTACTGAAGGTACAGGTGTGACATGCATAGCACCTAGCACATCGTATATCTCCCCCAATTAATATTTGATGGACCTTATATCTGATTTGACGTCTTTCAAGGTCTTCGTTGGTAGAATAGTCAGCTAACCTGAGGAGCGCACTACCCTTTACGGTTCCCCATAGAAAGTGTCACTCCCGACGCGGGTACACCCCTCCCTCTGCGTACTACCAACGCCTCTTGCGGCCTCCTCGCCTCGAAATCCCATGTAGCGAACATTTGTGCGTCGGGTAATGTGAATGTTGGAGGTTCGTTGCTGCGTCCGTTGGCTGTACCCTCGTCTTTACCTTTTCCGCCAGTAGGCGCCCCTGATGTAGACGAGTTCCAAGGGGCGCTGACACCGGTGCCATAATGTAGTTTCTGGTTGCCCCGCTGTAAGACGGGTGGATGTGCGAGACGCGTGGTGCGTGCGAGCACGGAGGGCTATAGTGGCACCATCGTGAGACATCAAACAAACGTGCAAAACGATGACTTACAGGCAAGATTTGACGCGCGAGATCTGGTAGACGCGAAGATTGTTGAGACACGAGAAAAACGGGTTTGTCTGCGGAGAATACAGGGCGGGGAGGCGCAGAGGGAAATATAGGTTTGTTGTTGGACTCTTTGTCGTCTTTTCCTGCACGTATGTCGTCCAAAGTCGACTGCGGGACAGGGTAGGAAGGGCTGATGGCTGCGACGCGAGGTGGGCAGGGTACGATGTTGGCGTATAGCGTATCTGGAGGGTTCCACCGTGGATTGTTTTGTACTTGGGACAGGAGCATCGTCGCGACTTTATGCTTTAAGGGATTTGGTGGGACGGGAGGGAGGACGGGGTGCGTGAGGATATGATGATATGCTTGGAGGAGCGCTTGTGCTGTTTGGGGGGTTGGGAGGTGAGGTGGCTGTTTTCTGGAGAGGGCGCTAGCTGGTGGGCGCGAGGGGAGGTGCCATTCTGGGGTAGTAGCTAGGACTGATTCTGAGTAGTTGACCTGTGTCACGTAGTCGGAAACGGTGTTGGAGGTTATGTGCTGTGGGATAAGTGAGGGTGGCTTTTCGAGCTTCACAGTGTGAGGGGTTGGCGTTGGCGATACGCTTCGCGGGCGTGACGTGTCATCTGGGAGTGGAGGGAGGAAATCTGGGGTAGTTGAGCGATCGAATAAGTCATCGTAGTCGTCAAAGTCGTCTAACAAAGGTTGCGGGTCGATAAAAGGTATCGCGTCGTCTTCGTGGCCCTCCTGTAGATAACCTGTAATAACGACTGTGTTTAATGAAACGAAGAACAGGAGAATTTGTGAAAGATACCTCTGAATTCTAAGAGATCGTCGAGCCTCCTGGCACTGCTGCTTGCATACCTCCCCAGGTCCTTCCCTTCAGAAACACAATACTCGTCTAATTCTTCCAGGTTCACACCTAAATCTTCTAACGAGCTCAACACATCCCATACTGATATTCGTGAGCGTCCTGAAAGTTCGGCATAATTGCCACAGACAGAAGATAGTAGAACGAGATAGCGAGAAACGAGGCTGGCAAGAACGATGGATGCCTGTGACGATGACCTCGAGAAATTGTGAGCGTGTAGAATCTTTAGTATGACTGAGTCGAGGATGGTCGCTGCTGCTGCTTGAGATGCCATGTCTATGTGTGATCAAGAGGGGGGGGTTGTAACTTGACGCAGTCGTGACGCGGCTGTGACGAGCCTTAACGCGCTAATGCAAGCGTTCCTATATGTTATATCAGTTCTACATTCGACTCTCAGATCAAGTTGTATAGGTTCACAATCATTTTATTCATATGTATAACTGGTACATCAGCCAACGACTATCTTATTTTCCTCCCTCTCTGGACCTTCCGAATCTGTGGAGCACGTCGATGTCTAATGGGCGCACATTCCTCAGTGAAGAGTAGGTGCACAAACTCCATGGTTTCCTGCATTGTCGGCAGTACTGCACTCTGGATGAGATATCAATATTGGGCCTCGTAGGAATGGGAGGATTGTTATCCGGAAAGGACAGAGAATCGTTGTCCTGTAATATGTCAAACAGGTGCGTAAAAGTGCAGTTCTGAACACGTACCATACTAGGTTTGGACTGTTTGGTTCGCGGCGTCCAACTTTGCGCAAGGATTCCACTCTCTCTTGTGCTCGTCTTGCAAGACTGCGGATCCCCACCTTGACAAATGGTCGTGAAATCGTCATGGGCGGCGATAGCGGCTGTTAGTTCCCCGAGACTGAGATCTGACTGATGCAGAGATAACGTATGCGAGCGATTCATCAAGGTCTGTAGTACCGCAGTCATGCCAGCTCACCTATAACACGTACAATACACAATAAGCCCGTGCCTATTTATCCAGTACTGGCAATGTGAAGCCTGGTGTAGGTTCATCGGCGTTGCATTGAAGTACACATTTTCATGATCTGCGTACTCTGGGATCTGCTGGATAATATCAGAAATACGTGCAGTGATGGGTGCATTATGACTCATGATACCAAAAAGTTTTATGCATATCAACAACATTTATTCAACATCTTCAGAAATGCTTGCCGTCACAACCACTGACCTGGCTACTAGTATATTCTGGTTGGTGGCAAAGTCATGCGAGCACTGAGCATCGCCCTAATGAGTGTTTACATGTGTATGGTTAGTGAGTTCGTCTGCCCCATCCTGCAAATCTGAATTGGATGAATAAATCATCATCATCATGGACCAACACTCACTAAACCGTACCAAACGCACTCATGGAGTGCGCCCGGCACAAAATTTGAGGCCTTCAAGAAAATTATGTCATAGTGTGTGAGCTAGCATCTGTTTCGTGATGCGAGCACATGCAAATTGTTTGGCTGTACCTTATATTTCATGTATAAAAGTTGACGTACTCGACTCAGAAAACACCATCAAGTTTCAGCGTTTCAACCATGAAATTCACTTCACTCACCAGTGTAATCATTACTGCCACAGCAATGGCTGGCATAGTTATCGCATCCGTCCCAGTTGTCCCAATTTCCCAAGGAGGCCCAGTGGGCCGAGGAGCCCCCGCTGAAAGTGCACTTTCGAATGGGCCGACACTAGCCTGCACCACAGCAGGTGAGTACTTTGGAGCATGCATGCAGACCTTAGACTACATGCTTATTGCCATCCACCAATAAAGTGGGGTACTCAGATGGTGTCGAAACTTAAACAATGGCGACGATTTCATATATATCTGCGGCAGTGACAGCAAAATGTCATTCTGGTTGCCACTCTCGTGCAATGGTTGCTGTAAGTTGTTTGACAAGTTGGGGAATCTCATTCCCGATTCTGGAGCTTTTGGCTTGCTTTAACGACACGACAGTACTTGGGTGAGTCTGTCTTTTCTCGTTGTCTTGGCGAGTCCGAGTTACTGATGTGCTTGCTTTTTCTAGTGCATGGGAAATAATCAGCGGGAGACGTGCAGGAGGGAGTGAAGGAATGCACTGTCTCGTTGTCAAAATTTGCTTTGTAGGTGTGGTGACAAGGGTCACAGTGTGGCTACTTTCATCGGAATTACATTCACTTGAAGTTGTGAGATGTTTGGCTCGCGCCGTCGCTTACTAGTATACTTACTATGTTTAGCTAAAAGTTGTGAAATCGAATCACAAATAACCAGACACTGTTATTTGTTAGGCACGCTTGATATTAGGTTCGAGAACTAAATTTATAGCTACTCCTTGCAATTAGAGTGGTGAAGACGAGATACGAGTTTCGCGGAGGGGTGTTCGGCTTTAGCCGAGAGCCAAAAGACAGGGGCGGAAGTCTCAAACACTGAAATTCTGCGGTGTACGAGGTACTCGAGAAGCGAACTCACATTCACTCTAAACAGAGCGCTGCGCGGTGGTCTTGAGCAGAATTATATCTTACTATAGCCATCATAGTTACAATATCACGAAATCGCTGATTCACTGATTCACTGATATAAGGTAAGGTTCTATAACTTTGGATCATCGCTCATCCTGCAGTTCGGTGGCGTCATAGTAGATCACATTGACAATCAGTCAGCAATTGGTCAGGAGATATGATAATAATATGTAGCTTCCCCAGCCCTTGGAGACTTATATAAGTAGGATATAACTTACTCATGATACCAAGGAGGCTTAGATTCCGCTTTACATCCAGCACCAACGGACTCATCATGGCTTCTGACACCATCAGCACCCTCAACTACTTCCTCCCTCCATCTGACGGCTCTCGGCCCTATAATATAGTCTATGCAGACAGCACCACAGGAAAGCCGACCCGCAACTGGATCGACGACCCGCATAATATGCAAGTTGGGGACGTGCGTGGAAAGGAAGAACTTTACAAGCTCGACAATGCTGGATTTCAGTATGGGCGAGAAGCAGCGAAGCATACCAGTTTCTTGAATAATGATGAGATTGAGCGCGAATACTACCCCGAGAGCATCGACCTCATCAAGAAGGTTACGGGGGCATCCAAAATTGTCATCTTCGATCACAGTATGTTGACCACCAACTTGAGACGACGTCTGGATCCCTAATTCATGTCACAGCTATTCGTCGCCGTCGTCCAGGCGAGCTAGATAATCATAACCCACAGAAACGTCAACCAGTCTCCCGGGTTCATGTTGACCAAACACCTACGGCGTCCACTGGCCGTGTTCATAGGCATCTCCCGCCAACAGAAGCTCCTTCCCTCCTTCGCAGACGTTTCCAAATAATAAACCTTTGGCGTCCCATATCACATGCAGCTGTAGATTGGCCGCTTGCACTATGTGACTTCCGGAGTGTTGATTTCGAGAAAGATTTGGTGCCTGTCGCTCATGTATACGCTGACCGTGAGGGTGAGACATTTGGAGTCAAATACAACCCAAACCACCAGTGGAAATACATGAAGGCAATGACCCCAGAAGAGTATGTTCTTATCAAATGGTGAGTGAAATAACTCGGGGAAGATTGTTGTCATGCTAAAAGGGTTTTAGCTTTGACTCGATACAAGATGGAAGTGTCGCGATACTCACCCCTCACACTGGCTTCCAAGACCCGAACACTCCAGAGGGAACACCGCCTCGGGAATCCATCGAGCTGAGAGCTCTGGTATTCTATGATTAGAACATGTTTTGTCAAGTGGCGTTAAGAATCAACAAAGAAGTCGTAGCACTGGATCTAGATTATTGCGCAATTCAAGTGAGAAATGAGTTCACTTTCTCATGTTGGATATTGGAAGTACCTAGCTATCAACTTGGCGTGGTTTCACTGTAGAACACGTTTTGTTTGCCAGTGCATCCGATGTGACACACCCAGAACGTGTGACTAAGCTCAACTGACCGTCTGGTATTGGAGTATCTTCGCTCTCGAGGACACAAGGATGCAGAAAGGGCTCTTAATGAATCACTTGAAAGCGGGAGCGTAGATGAGTCTGCGAAAGACTGTATCTGCTGAAGACCTCATCAAGACTCTTGCTGTTTATGCACAAAAGCCATCGCGCCCGGGGGACAATGTATTGAAGGAAAATGCAAATGTTCTACAGGAACTGACGGCGATGGGAAATCCGCCGAGTATACAGACCTTGATTGCTAGCCTTGGGACTGTTGGCGCGGAAGATATTCTGTCTGTTGATCCAACGGACAAGGAAGAGGCATTCCGAGAGCTCTCGAAGCGTGGGTTGAAGGTTCACTTGACCGTCCATCTACAAGGTACTCCGAGAGCATCTATCTGCTATAGATGTAGGTTAATTCCTGTTTCCCATATTTTGCCATTTCCATCTGGATCTTGTGCAGCGAGGATTCAAGGAAGCTGGTATGTCTGGCAAACCTTGTACTGTATTCGTTCGACCGATATTTCTGCTTTTCTTAGCCCTGCGCTTCTACGCGACGTATTCGCCGTCTTTAGCCCCGATGCATCACGCTACTTTACATCATCTCTCGACTCTCCTGCTTCCCTTTTACATGTTCAAAATCATATGATGCACAGCGCTTCAAAAATGAAAATATATTATCAAAATGAGCCGGTCAGGTTTCAGCTTGTTGGTGGGATGGCTGACAGAAGGAGTTGGAGGTGAAGCCACTGGCGCAGGGGATGGCTTCTCTGGCGAGAAAGGAAAGAGAGGCCGAGCAGCAATTATGCGAGTGGTGAACAACCATCTTCGCTTTGATGGTAACTTTTTAAGCTATCAAACAATGTGTATGAGCTCAAACTTAGGCTAGTGACCTCCGCGAGCGCTACAGCAGTTTCGCCCAATGCATGGGAAGAATCGACTGGCCTGCTGTCGCAACTCATTCCGCAAACAAGCGCTTCTGCCACTCCTAATCCTCATGCTTTCAATGCCTCCTAAGGCGAACTAAAACTTGGCCCTGCCCCCATCTCTGAAGAGTTGCGCGCGGAGACTGAACGCGTCATCCGCGAACAATCTGTACTGGACCGCGATACCAATGCTCAATACGACTTGGAATTCCTGAGGCCTCCAGCTGTCCTGGGAGTTATCTCACCCACTGAATCAGACATGCTTCCTTATCCCCAGTCGTTCAAAACGGTTGATGTTCAAAGAGAGGTCGAGAAAGTACGAGATGCAAGGAAACGTATACGACTCGAGTCCTCTGCGCTAAGTTCTATTGACATGAACTCGGTGCAAGGAGGCGCTGCTCGTGCGCGTGGCTTGCCCAGCATTTGTGCGTACACGCTACATGACGTCGGAGAAGGGTAAGTATTTGAAACAGAATTAGCATATTTCCTAGCGAAATGATTTGAGCAGTGCGCCGTGTTGCACCTTCTCACCTGACTTGACTCTAATGGCGGCCGGCTTTTCTGAGAGTTACATTCGTTTATGGAGCCTGAAGAATGAAAAACTCAAGGGACTACGCAATGACTTTTCTCTGAGTTCAGTGAAGGATTGTGAGTCTCTCAAGTTGAATGAGTGACACCGATGATGTTTATTCGAACGCTAGCTGGGTCGTTGTCGAAAATACAGCAAAAAGAAGGACAACCCGAAAGCTCGTCTGCCACAGCGGTCCTGTGTATTCTTTATCCTTTGACTTAGGTGTATGATGGATACTATCGCTCCCCAATTCCCGCCAGTATTTAATACAAATGATCAATGTCTGCTGTGCTTTGGGTACTATACTAAGTTATGTAAACATGTATTTTATCTTTCTATTCATACGGCTTGCAACACTGAACTGTGAAACTACTCAAACGACTGCAATTCTTGCTCTGGTAGCGGCGTTGATCAAGCCTGATCTGACTTGACGGGGAGATGGATTTTAGTGCATGTTTGACACGATCTTGGAGCTAGAATTTTATACACGGTCTTCTCAAGTTGTAACGGCAGGTTTTCAGCTTCGGAAAAATGTATGGGTAGTATATATACATTGCAGACGAAGATGGCGGGGCATTTGGTATTGGTATCGTACATAGAGGACGGTTCGAAATGCATCAGAGGAAGTGGGTGAAGCACATCAATGACAATGAGAGTCCATAGAGATGACATATTGATACGACTCGTGAAGGATGAGAAGGTCTAATGATTACCGTTCGTATATTCAGGAGAAATACAGCCAATGAAGAGCCATAAGCGAGTCCAGAGTCCAACGTCTCTTATCGTTGCGTGAGGGCGTGACGCTGTTGTTGAAATTGTAGCTGCGGTAGCATCACCGGCAGCAGGCGTGGTAAACAACGAAGAGTCAGCTGTCTGTGGTTGCGAAGATGGTTGAGCGATGTTGGGCTTGGGAGGCTGTGGGCTTCCTGTAGTAGAGATCTTCGAGTGTGATGGTTTCGTTTTCGTTTTCTGTTTCTGTTTCTTTTTTGCAAATGCAACCTCCCCTGCTGAAGCATTTCTCTATGTGATATTAGATGAAGTTGCCAGTGAACATCCGAGAGAGAGAGAGAGAACATACATGTTTGCCCTTCGCATACGGAACTTCAACAGCAGGGCTGCGCCCTTGCAACTGAGTAGCTTCACCGCTTCGCCCACGCTGTTTCACAAGGTTTCGAGCCCAGTCGAGAGGGGAGGATGGTGACGTAGCATGAGCACTGGATGGGTTGCGGTTGCGGTGAAATAGACGGCTGAGAAGCGTCCTGCCTGGCGATGCTGAGGAGTGGGAGCGGCTTCGTGCAGAGGACTGAGGACATGCCAGAGGTCAGGAAAACAAAATGAAATTGATAGTGATGACATACATGGGAACGATCTGGTGGGACACCATCAGAGAAATCTTGGGGTATGCGATAAGCAGGCGGACACTGTTGCACTGGAGGTCGTGTAGCACTAGCCTAGAGCATATATAGTGAGAACAACAAGATCTTTTAATGAAGGTGTCACTTACATGGACTGCCAACTTTTTGGCCTGGCAGAGCGCGTTCAGTTGTGAAAATATACAATGAGGTATGAACTCACCTTTGGATCCGAAAGAAGGTCATCGAGGCCGGCCTCTGTAATAATCGCAGCAACATCTCATGTGTACGCGTTTCTGTCGCAGCAGCCAGTGGCTAGTAGTTTTCCATCCGCGGAAAATGAGTCCACAATTAGTAACTCTGACTACATACAGTGAGTTTTCTTTAGTCCACGTTTGGTCCACGTCATCGCGAATGTGCTCAATATTCTGCCTAGAAATAGGTGGCTCAAAGGCTCGCGAGTAGCAAGAAAGGTTCTTTCATGTTGTGCTTGGGCACCTTTGAAAAGAAAGGACCAGCTTGAAAGTCATTCAAGGGAGATCATGATTTACGACAGATACGGCAGGTGCGTAGTAATCCTTGGTCGTGCTCGTGGTTGACTATAGTTGGTTTTGTAACTTTTGTTAATGGGAGGAAGTCGTATTGCACCGATAATGAGTCACGTGAGCATGCAGTAATAGCCCTAAGCATCGATTTCGAGATCACGTGGCCCAGAGCCGGCCCAACCGCAAGAGTCACCTTCTTGTTCTCTAGACTCTTCGCCACCATGTCTCTCACAAAAGATGCCGACTCGTTCAAGCGCGCCCTCCATCGTCAAGATTACACTTCATGGCATTCGCAACCTGCACCACTCAACTCCTCTTCCTCTGCCAGTGCCTCTGTTTCTACACCTGCACCCGCGCCTATAACTGCAGAATCAACGTCCACGCCTAGCACGAAGAAGAAACGGCCAAAGACCAGTATGTTGTGCTGTTTGTATATAATGACTTCTTTCACTCTCTTTTGTCTTGTTACAGATATCGTATATTCACAGCCGGCGGATACGGGGACGGGGACGAATGTGAATACGCAACTTGTGTATGCTATTGATCATCTCAAGGTACGTGTTGCGTTTATTTTTCTTTTCTTGCTTATTGAGATTGTTTGTGGATATACGTAGTCGACGCATAATCCCATGCGTCTTCAAGATATTGCAATCGTAACGAATACGCCGCTCGAGACTGATGTAGTCTTACTCGAAAAATTCAAGTCGCATGATAAGATTATTTGGGATCCAAAGACTGATTTATATTCGTATCGTGTACGTCTATTTCGCTAGCTCTTCTCTTCTCAGCCACTCATTGACGCGACACAGCATGAATTCAGCTTTCGGAACAAAGTAGCGCTTCTGACAGAGATCCAGCGACAGACGAGGAAAGGCGGCGGGATACCTGTGCGTGCGCTCAAGGAGTCTTGGAAAGAGGCGCCGCAAGCTATTGAGGAGCTGGAGAAGGAGGGAGAGGTGCTTGTTACGAGGACTGTGAAAGATGGTCAGTTGCGGATGGTATTTTGGAATGAGATCAAGCCGGATGATGAGAGTGGGGGGAAACATGTTGAGAAAGGTGAGTCTCGTATTGTGGGATGCATCGTGCTGATTTTTTGTTTTGGACAGAATTCTTTGATTTGTGGCATTCGCTGAAGGTGCCCAATGATGTTGATTTATTGAAGGCGCTGCATGCTGGTACGTGCCTCCTATTTTGATATTTTTGTTGGTGTCTGACAGGTACGATACAGAGGGGCTTCAAGCTACTGCGGAAGAGACGCCGATCCCGAAAGCGCCATCGAATATGAAGAAGAAGGGAAAGCGTTCGGCACCGCGACAGAGACAAGCGAAGATTACGAATACGCATTTGAAGGGAGAAATCGACCTTTCGAAAGATTATGAGAGGAAATAATCCGAGTATATGCGTTTTTTATATTTCTGGACATCTTCCTCCTCTTTACCGTGCCATGGGCGGGTGGGCGTACCTCTCGTTCGAGGCAGTATCCAACATTGATTTATTGGATACAGTTTTGAGTTGTACTGCAGCTGCAGTTGTGCAGTTTCGAACCGAAATCGGTTGTTTCTTCCCAACAACTGTAGCTGCATCAGCCATACTTCTTCCTTCAGCCACACTCCGCAGCTAGCTCTCCTTTTGAAGAATCATTGAGGCAGTTGTGTTTCCATCCCAACACCTATTATCCTTTTGTAGAAGGCAGTGTTTTCGGTGACTGAATTCATCCGTTTGGTGAAACGACAGGCGTGATGTATTATTCCATCAAGTATACATAACATGTAACGAATGGCAGAGCAAGCTAACACTCAGGCTGACGTCTTGGTTCCTTCACAAGTTAGACAAGAGGAGGAGACTGCCTGTACCTAGGGCTGCAGTAATGGCAACGATCACGACAGTCGACGCTGTGCTCAGGGAAACTCCGAGAGGACCATCCCAATTGGAAGGGATGGACAAGGTAACGAGGGAGGAAGGGACTGTGAAACCTGCGGATGAGCACGCGGTGGCGTATGCTGATAGAAGGGGTCAATAAAGGGTACCGATAGAAAAAGTGAGAAAGGCACCAGTAAGAGCAGCGGTTGAACCAGCACGGGGATCAGCGCTAGTTGTGAACTTTGCGATCAAGTCGTCGAACATGCATTGCTCGCAGGAGGTGATGGCGGTGACTGTGTTGGATGCACAAAGACAAGAATCATTGGTTGTGCACATCTGAGGGTGATTAGATGCGGAAGGGATCTAATGGAAGAATGGGTACATACGGAGATTTGAGCGTTGGCGTTGGAGCATTGAGTCTGACACTTATAGAAGGGTGAGAAGGGTATATGAAGGATATGATCGTGTCTCACATCGGTCAAAAGGTATGTATCGGAGACGTTGAGGAATTGGGTCGCATCGATAGTTCCAACAGAACCACCAACATTAATAGACAATGAGAGGGCTACGATAATGTTATTCGATATATTGTTAATGGAGACAAGTGACGGGGCTCACCTTGACCAGCAAGCAACAGGAAAGAAATAAAAGTAAAATGCATGACTAGCAAGCTGGGAGTGAAGAACAAAGGTATCAAGCGCTGCGAGATGGCTTATAAGACTACCGGAGCCTAGCTATAACTAGTAGCACTGGTTCATTTGACAGACACAGCGTCACACAGGTGTCCGTGTCGAGGGGGCCCGCTAATACAACCGATCTTCGAGCCGCGTCCCACGTGATCACATTGTTGACGCGAATTGTCCAGACTTTCAACAGTACTTCCATCTAACTATCATGGCTCCAATCACATTCAGCGGTACAATTCCTTCAAAGAAGAAGGCCGATCTTCAAGCTATCGCAGTAGCTCTGAACATCAGTGATACTGGAACAAGAGAGGATCTACAAGGCAGAATTAAACGTCATCTCGAGCAACATCAATCAAAATATGAAGATGATCCTACCTTCTCTGGCCTATACGGCAAGAAGAAGAAGAGCGTACAACCTCCCATAGAGTCAGTCTCATCAATATTGTTACACCCCTCCTCATATTCTTCTCAGACGCTTTGTCCCCAGTTCACCAGATGAACAGGAAGAGAAACTCCACCAGAGTCCCCAAGTCACTCGCAGTCGTCGTATCGTCCCGCTTGACCCACGTGAGACAACCCCTGTCGACGATATGCGAAACGTGTCTATCATGCTCAAAAACCTTCCCATATCCCCTGACGCCGAGTCCACCCCTGCCTCGTCCGCTAAACCTTCTCCGCAACGCAAACCAGAAAGCGCCCGACCTGTCGCGTCCATTCAAAAAACGCGTCCAGTTTCTAAACCTCTCACTCCAGTGGCTCGTGAATCTCTCGCAAAGCTACAAGTCAGCGTGCAAAAACACACCCGAACCACCTTGTTGACGACGCGTGCCGTAAGTCTTACCTTGTTGTACAGAATCACCCACTAACCGCGTGTTTTAGGTCCTCTCGGACTCTACCAATATTTGGTTCCTTACTGTTCTCCTTGAGCTATTCTACATTCTCTACATGGTTATTCCATGGCAGACCTTCGAGGTTTGTTTCCTGTACTCTCCCTCACTTCGCGCGTCTAACCCCACCTTAGCTATCGCCAGGCTCGCCTAGTCAATTTTACATCGCGATCTCCTATCCCCCCGCTCGCACCTTCTTAACACCATCCTTCTGGACCGTCCTAATTCACTGGTCAATACCCGACGTCTTTATCCCACTCGTCTTCGGCCTCCTCGTCTCCTTCCACCCCGCTAATTCTACATCCTCCCGGACCCCACAAGTCATCGCACTCGATCCCCTCTCAGCTTCTATCGCTCGTCTGGCAGCCCATGTCGCTTACCCCTTCCGCGCCCTCGAGATGTCCCTCCAAGGCGTCGATGTTATCAGTCAGAAATGGCGCCTCTTGACAGCGTCTGTCGTGGTAGCATTTGCGTTCGCAGAAGCTATTTTTAATGCCCCCGGTGCATTTGCAGAGTCGAGGGTTCGTTTACGCGCAGCCACCCCTAGGCGTACTGCCCCATCTGAAGACACACCCGTCTCTATCACCGTCACCGGCGAATCATGAGTTTTGCGCGTTGTATACACTGTACATTTACTATGTTGTGACGACTCATTCATGATCGATTTATCCCTTTCCTTTGATTTTGATTTTGCTTTATCGAGTTGCTGTTTTGTTAGCGCCGAGACTATATTTATTCTTTACCTATTGGCATTCTACGACCTGGAGTATCACTATTACTACTGTCACTGTTTTCTCTGTCGCAGCATTGATGTGCGCGAGTTCTTTTATTTCGAGTTCAGTACTGTCCCTGACCCCGTCCAATATATCGATATCGATATTACTATGGCATGTATTATCTTGGATGTTTCCGTATACCTTCATTTTGGACCTTGGTAAATGATGATAACCAGATCATAGAGAACAGTTCTCTATGGTCCGGTTCTTGGTTCTCATCTAGGACCCTCCGAACTGGACCACGGCAGCACTAGGTATTAATGACTGGACCACCATGGTGGTCTGCCTTAACCATTCCTGCATTTTTGCCTGAACCAATGATTATCACAAAATGGACTCAAACACACATAGTATTTCATTATTCTAGCCAGTGATTCTATCATAGGGGAAGGCTCCCAGGGACAATCAACACTAGTTGTAAAAGTGACATTCATTTCGAACCAAGTGCATTCCCATCAGGATAATTGCACATCATGAGCCTGAGTTCCATTGCCGGAATCCTTGTCTTAAACTTGATAGTACAGGGATTGTCTGATTTCTCCCCGATCATCAGCCCCATGTTATCCAATGGCTTCGTAAGATCCAATGTAAGCTGGAAAGCCCAAAAAATAAGGAGTGAGTTGATGAATACCGATCTGGTTTGATCAAAGTGAGCTCGGAAGATTATGTGCATGGAAGGGTGGCTTACCTTTGCGCGACATGTTGACCGGGGCATACACTGAAAGGAAATGTCAATCAAAGAAGGAATGCTTAAAGATACTGCCTACCGCCGACCAAAGCCGTAGGGAAAGAATGTAAAATCATCTCGCAGGCGACCTTGCTCGTCAATCCAGCGCTGAGGCTTGAACGTGTCAGGCTCTGGGTAGGTATCTGGATCTCGAGAGATGGCCCTAAGGCAGCGACTGTTAGATCCTTGGTAAGTTTTCTTGGAGCAGGATGCTTACCAATGATTAGCAAATATCGTGGTCCCGGCTGGAATGCAATAGTTTTCCTGGGGGGCTAGATCATCATTTGCACCATAAGTTGTCCAAGATCACTTGCCCAGATTATGTCTTGAGTTGTTCGGTGAGCCAGCGCTGCGCCGTTCATGTTGTGAAATTTAGGCACAAGATCGAAATAGTATACATACCACCAGTAGGCAATGGTGGTCTCCATCTCAAAGACTCGGAGATGAATGCTTGCAGGCAAGGAAGGGATTGCTGGTCAGCGAAGGTCGGCGCTTTCATGCAAAAATATTGAATCATAGCGCTGCAATAGGGAATAAAGGTACCTCGGTGCCTTCCGATGACTGCATCGAGCTCAGCCTGAACTTGAGCTTGCTCCTCAGGGAAACATGCAGCCGCCATAAGTACTGTGCAGATCGCCGTAGAAGTCTTTCGCCGGATTTCAGCCGTGTACTATCTTCGGAGGCTGCAAAACAACACCTCACCGTCTCAGATCCAGCTGCAAAAAAGGAACCGCCGAGAAAGGCCATTTCTGTGTCTGACAAACTATAGAGATGGCGATTTTCCAGGATATATCTCATAAACGAAGGGTCGATGTCTACGTCGCTCTGCTGTGGAACGACTCAGACATGAAGTCAAGATTCAAAATAGAATGTATACCATTTGCTCCCTCACGCGATTTAGCTGACCAAGGTTGAGTTTCTTGGTCCTCTCAAACCCCTGTCTTAAGTCTCGCCCATACCAAGGAAGGTATTTGAGCCACGGAATCGAGTCCACTAGGTAAGCACCAGGACGCACGACCGCACTAATCGTCTTGACGAATTGTCGGATTTCAACGACTGAAGAATCAGTCGCGGATGTAGACGTAGTCTTCCCATAAGCAATCTTCATAATTGTCGTCGCAGCATAACTTGAAATTACCTGTGAGCGAGGTATAATATAACTGACGGTTCTTACGTTATCACATGCTTCTGGAAGTCGCCATGTGGATCATCGAGAATGCCGAGGACTGTATCCTTCGCGTGTGACATCTGCAGGGGCTGATATGCTGCAGCCGCTCTAGGTTGGAGATGTGTGTGAAGTGCTCTGCACCACATTGAAAAGTAAGGCAGACGAAAGAAAGTACCGCGGACTACCAACCTACGCATACGACGAAACCTGTCCCCCCAGTGTGCAAATCCGATGCCCATCCCGCCGCCAAACATTTCTCCAGCTGCAATCATGCGAGGACGGTCAGCTGTGATTTTACCCTGATTCTCCATGATATCCACGGCAGCCTGCGACAGGATGTTGAATCAAGATAATACAGCCCAGCATGTAGGAACTGACTTTGTAACGGCCGACGATAATGATCTTCTCAAGGTTTGACCGAATGGTGATCACAGGACCATACTCAGCAATCCATCCTGCTATCGTGAGGGATGAACTATCGAAGGCGAAAATAATTAGTATTTCAAAATCACAAAGTCGCATACGGAAATTCACTGGCGATGCGGCAGAAAGTGCCCCCCAAGTCTCCAAGTAGGAGGGGAAGGGGGGAGAGGAAGGTCGCTCTCTGGTTTACGACGGCGAGCCCAAGTGATTATTCCCACTATAACAAGACAAGCCCCAGCACTGACAAGCTGTGCGTTGTGAGACATGTGCAGGTCAAATAAGCGTAGCATGGTCTATAGCGTGAGCGTAAAGAAAGATAGGAATTACGGTGCATCCAAATTGTGAATGGCTTTTTAAGCGCCCCATATCAATGAATCGGTGACCCGTACTTGGGAATGAGAGATTCATCTAGATAATTGGGGTTCATTGCAATGCTGGCATGCGATGGTTCGTATGCTACCTAACAGCACCTGACCAGCACCTCTGACAGTCATGCCCCTTGAGTGAAAAAAACGCGCTGGCATGTATGGCCGGTTACTACCACCTTATTGCCTAACCCCGAGCAGAATGGTACTTAATTTGATGTACACAAAACGTGCCAGGAATAAGGAATGTGACCAGTCCATCTATGAGGAAAACCGCGTGCTCCGAAACGTTGAAGCGGTGAAATTGCCATGTTGATAGTGTCTGAATGAAGTAGAATAGAAATAACGAGACAAAGGGTCTTCCCGCAGCCACCAGCTGCAATCGCACTATCATGGCCATTTAGTAGTTGGAGAGTGGCCTCAAGTTGGAATTGTTGTTGCCATAAGAACATCGACGAGCGGCCTCGGAGCAGGTCCAACCTATCCTCAGGCTTGTCACTGAGAGTTTGATTATTCATTTTGAAGTCGTTCTCGTATGAGTAAACGCGTGAACGGATATAGTCTCTGCAATGATGCTTGTCCCACAGCGCGGATGATGGTGCTCGTATTCATCGAAGTTTGGTGCAGCCTTTGCATTTGCATCACGTGCTGCGCTCACTCCTAAACTAAATCTGGCACTTTGCCCCTCGCACGTTCTGATATGCCCCTAGCCTGCCAAGGGTACCCTGAATGCGATCTCCCGGCCATCTGACACCACAGCCAAGTCTGCCTCAGGCATAGTGCATAGTGAGTGGCGGCACCTCATGATCACTACATCAGGAAAAGCCCCGGACAATTTCCATCGGTTGCTATCTTTAGATAATCAGGTACATGTTGCAACACTATCACCAGTAGTTACCATGTCTTAACTTTATGTCACTACCACGTAGTGACCTTGCAACATTTTCGAATCACGCAACCATATTGTCTGACGATTGTGAGCCGCTTGTGTCATTTACAATCATCTTGCAATACAGACTTAGCTCTGAGCCGCTGCTGCTTAGTAATACTGCCAGCCAGCTGCTGGCAGCAGTAGTGATGTGCACGGCCCGGCTTCAAGCCGTGGGCTGGCCAAAGCCGGCCCTAGTTAGGCCGAGCCAGGCCGGGCCAAAGTCATGGCCTGACCACGGCCTAGGGCCTGGCCTGGGCAGTTGGAAAGCCGGAGCCGGCGGCTCGAGCCGTGGCTTTTACTCTTACAGCTATACTAGTCATCTGAGACAACGACGAGCTCCTCGGCGCTACTTCCTCCTTACCACGGACTCATCTGCATGTCAGCAGCTTCTGCGAATCCAACACACACTTATGAAGCGTCATCTATCTGCGGCACAATCTCAATGATTTATTGAGATAAATAGTATTAGTACGTCGCTATCCCTACTCACAAATCCCTAATTCTAATGGCAGGAACAATCCTCTCAGATAGTGATGACGAACCTCGACCAGTGCGTCCAGCGCGCAAAATCAAGCCCTCTGCTGCGCTCCTCGAGCATTCTGAGAAGGCGGCTCTCCCATCTCAAACCAAAGCCATCAATGCATTTCGTGCGGCAGAGGCCGCAAAGCATGGTTCCAACAATCCCCAGCCCACTAACTCACCCAGTCCACCTGCTCCTGAACCCACTGTCCCTGCGCCTACTAACAAACGATCATGCACCGAAGATGCTGAAGAAGGCTATGAACCGAGTGACGAGGAACGCGAAAATGCGCGGACAAACCCCAAATGTAAGTTTATCTATTCATGTAAGAGAGTGTGTACAAAGCTCACCTGAAACTGTCAGCCAAACGAGCCCGCCAGCATCAGCAAGCTACTGTCGAAGACCACGAAGATGTGGACGAGGATGGAATTCTCATAGATATTGCCGTACAGCTTTCTTTCTTGAAGGCCGTGAATGAGCCCAAGCCGGCCGCGGCTTTGGCCTGGCTTTGGCCCACGGCTCGGCCTGAATTTTTTCAAAGCCCAAGCCTCCCCAGGCCAGGCCTAAGCCGGGGCTTTCAGGCCAAGCCGGGCCCGCACATCACTAGGCAGCAGGCTGCCGGAGTCCGAACACAGGCTGAGTCCGAGTCAGTCACTGCTCTTCTGCTACTCATTTCAACTCACTGGCCGCACTGGGTTCAAAACCGTCAACTTTCAACGGCAAGTGACTTCAGCCCGACTTCAAGTTCAGTCATCACTTTTTTTTACTGTCCGAGTCCGACTCAGTCCGCCGAGTCATTGGACTCCATCTCACCCGCTGGCGGGCTACAGTACAGTTGGAGCCCACTGGCAAGCCCCGCTGCTGTGAAGTCATGCTTCCCAGTGTATGGCAGCTCCGAGTCGTTCAACTACCATGACTAGTAGTACAGTCAGCCTCCGAGTCCGAGTCGCGGCCGCTATCATTACTATAATCGCATTCTGCTTACTACTAGTTGCTGTCACGGAAACCACTGGGCCGAGTCCGAGTCTCAATTTGAATCTGTCCGAGCCCGAGTCACTGCCAGGGTCTCCCTCAATATCCACAGTGACTTCTGGCATCATGCCTCCTCAGCGCCGCCTACCAATTGAATATGACTGTGATGCATGTGGAGCTCACAACGTTGATGCTATTCGTTTGACAAGACATCGAAACCAGTGCAAAGCAGTGCGCACCAGAGCCCGCCGTGCCTACGAGAAGAGTCTAAAGCTTGACAAAAAGCGTCTGGCGGCAAAAGCGCGTGCAAAGGCGGAGAAATTAGCCTATGTCACTGCGGCATCACATCCAATGCCAAACGCCACTCAAACACTCACAAGCCGTACTGCCATTGGCAATAGCAGCCAGGCCTCAGCCTATTTGGGCGAAGGTTCTGTGAGTACCGTTTATTTGGAGTGTAGGGCTCGGCGTACTGATTTTATTTATTTCCTATCAGTCGAGGGACCCCCAGGCTTTAATTCATCCGGCTCCTGAGGTAGATTTGGGTGAAGGCTCTGTGAGTACCGTGCACTTGGAGTGTCGGTCTCGGCATACTGATTTTATTTATTTCCTATCAGTCGAAGAGCCCCTTAACTCATTCTGCCCTTGAGGCCCTACCAAGATTGACACCTCCACCACCTCCTGCCTCATCATCTTCACTCGAACATCATATGGACACCAGCACCTGTGTTCAGGAAGACATATGTGACTTCGACATGTACTATGCCTCGCACTCACCCCCTCCACAAAGCCCCTCCGAGTCAGTGGCTCAAAGTCCCCTGATCCCTCCGTCGCAAGTCAAACGGATACGAAAACCGGCTAGAGTCAGAGCCGCTGGATTTGACGACCCACTTCCTGAGGGTCCTGGCCCACTCGAGGCTGACGGTTCGGGCTGTGTTGAGCCCGAGGTCGTAGCTCCTCCCGAACCCATCGAAAACGTTGACCCTCAGACTCCTGCGTTTTGTCTCCGGCGTTTTCTCATCCGAATTCTGGAAATCGTGCGCACATTACCCAATGCCTTCGGCCTGACACGTCTGTATCGCGGTCGCCCCACTCGCATCCCTGACCTCGATAGTGATCTGAACGACCTCACCGCCACAAATTTACAAACTCTACCCGCTATCACTGATAAATCCATATCCGACATCATCTCACCATATCCCAACGAGAACGCATTCAATTTCGGCCGTTGGTATTGGAACACGACTCGTCAATCCAAATCTACTAGACAAGAATTACTGGACAATGTCATCTTGCGTCCAGGTTTCGATCCCGAAGATCTTCGCGGCGTCAACTTTGACAAAATCGACAAGCAACTCGCCCAGGATTTGAGTTCTCCTTTGGAAGGCAACGGTTGGCGAAATGATCCAATCACTGTCAATATACCGACATCTCAGAAGGCCACGAAAGCGTCCAAGAAGAAGGACCGGAATACTGAGCGAGCAGCGCGTGTTCACGACGAGGTTGATGAAGAGGCGGGTACTGTGGGGACACGTAAGTTTTGCATTGGCGATTTCCATCACCGGAGCTTAGTGCATATCTTGCGTACCGCTATTGAGAGCAACACTCCGCACGCTCAACAATACCACTGGCACCCATACGAGCAATTTCACCAGTCCCCTGATCCCAATACACCTCCGGTTCGCGTGTTTGATGAAGTTTACACGGGTGATGCGTTCTTAAAAGCAGATCGTGATTTGCAAAACTCTCCAGGGGAACCCGACTGTGATTTACCACGCGTCATTGCGGGGATCATGGTGTGGTCTGACGCGACTCATGTTGCACAGTTTGGGCAGGCACGGCTTTGGCCCATCTATATCTACTTGGCCAATCTATCCAAATATTCCCGTTGCAAACCAACTTCAACTGCTTCTCATCAAGCTGCGTATTTACCGAAGGTGGGCCGTTTCTCTCGTGTAGCATATATTCTCGTCTCAACTCTTCCTCGCAGCTTCCTGATACTGTGCAGGATTTTCTACGGTCATTTGACCATGGCGCATTAGACCCACTGTTAGCACATTTGCGTCGCGAGGTTTTCCATGAAGCCTGGCGACTTCTTCTCGATGACGAGTTTGTGCAGGCGTACGAGCATGGCATTGTTCTTGATTGTGCAGACGGCGTTCGTCGACGTGTCTACCCTCGCATATTCACTTACTCTGCTGATTACCCTGAGAAGTAAGACTTTACATCCCTTTCACAGGATTCTGATACTGATGTCATTTGTTCTCATAGAGTTTTGATCGCAACAATTCGTGACATGGGGGGCTGTCCATGTCCACGCTGTACGATACCCAAGGACATGATACCTGGACTTGGCACTCGAGAAGATTCTTATATTCGAACCCACCAAACTCGCCTCGATAACGACGAACGGAGGGACAATATCAAGCAGGCTTGTGGGTTCATCTACGACAAACATTATGTTGTCACCAGCAAACCGGTGGAGGAAATATTAAAACCGGAGTCGCAGGTTCCGACAGAGGTATGAGCCTTATCATTTTTTTTTCATTTGAAGCATTGATATCAACGCGAATTACTACAGAATGCCTTCTCATCTCGCTTGTCCCATTTTGGCTTCGACTTTTTTATGATGCTCGTGGTTGATTTAATGCACGAATTCGAGCTAGGCGTTTGGAAGGCCTTACTCACCCATCTGATCCGCATTCTACACACGCAAGGTCCTACAATTGTCGCTGAATTCAACGCTCGGTAAGTGACATCAGAACTTGAATTATGGAATGCTCAACAGTTGCAACAGGTTTCGGCTCATACAACCATTTGGCCAGTCGACCATCAGAAGGTTCCCTCACAATGTTTCCGAGTTGAAAAAGTTGGCTGCGCATAATTTTGAGGACATCCTGCAGGTTAGTATATGCTCTTGTTTCATCGGGATAGTGAAGATTGATGACCAAAATTAGTGCTCAATCCCATGTTTCGAAGGTTTGATACCCTCTCCGCACAATGAGTCAATCATGGACCTTCTATTCCTGACCTGCTACTGGCACTCGTTGGCGAAGTTGCGCATGCATACAGAAACATCACTCGAGGTCCTCGACACTGTCACGACTGCTTTCGGGCAAAAGATCCGGCACTTCGCTGAGGAAACGTGCCGTCAATTTAATACCGTTGAAACTGATTCAGAATACATGGCACGAAAGCGGGCTGAAGGAAGACGAGAAGCTCGTGGCGACAACCTTAGAAAGAAGGATGCTAACCTTGCCATGTCTGGCAAACGTACCCGGGGGTTTAACCTTATGACGTCGAAACTTCATGCTCTTGGTGATTATGTGGCTCAAATTCGAATGTTTGGCACCACTGATTCATTTACTTCACAAATTGTGAGTCAGGCACCGTCTTTCTAAGAGTGTCACTGACAAACCACACAGGGGGAGCTCCAGCATCGAGTTCTCAAGGCTTGGAATGATCGGACAAGCAAGAATAACCCAGTGCCGCAGATCATTGCAATGGATGTTCGAGAGAATGCGCATAGCCGGATGTCAGAAGACCTGAAACGCTTAGCCGCAATACAAGCTGACGCTGGTTCAATGGCTGACTCCGAATCATTACCATTCGCTGCTCCGGCCGCTGCCTGAGGAACATCACCATATCACGCAAGACCAACGAACATATGTGTGGTTAGGTGACTGGCTCAATGATAATCGGGGGGATCCAGCATTCAAGGTAATTACTTACTTCTGGTATTGGCTCGACACTAACAAACAATTAGAATTTCTTGCCGCAACTCAAGACACATCTTCTTGGGCGTCTCAAAGGAAATGTTTATGTTGGCGAGGAACCGACATTCACACCGCATGAGATCGACGAGATCGGGTTCCAATACAACCGTGTTTACAATCATGCCACCGCCAGTATCAACTACACAACATATGATGTTCGACTGTGATCAAGACACGATTCACATACACTCAAACAATTCACTCGACCGATCTGCAATCATGGTTGCTTCTCATGAGACCGCAGATGATGGCGTGTCTCCCCATCCATACTGGTATGCACGGGTGCTTGGCATCCATCATGTCATGGTCGAACATCCATCCATACGCAAAGCTACTCGAATGGAGTTTTTGCGCGTGAGGTGGTTTGGTCGTGATCCTGACTGGGCGAGTGGGCCAGGCGCTCTTCGCCTTGATCGCATTGGCTATGTCCCAGACTCAGATGATGAGGCATTCGGATTTCTTGAGCCTAGTCATGTCTTACGTGCGTGCCATCTCATTCCTGCTTTTGCACTAGGGAAAACGACGGATTTGCTTGGACCATCGAAGCATCGCGACTCAGACGAAGGGGATTGGGTCAATTACTATGTCATGAGATATGTCGACAGAGACATGATGATGCGCTATCTGGGGACCGGCATTGGACACATGCATCCTCCCGGGTTTCCGAACGAGACTCAGTCACTCCAAGTTGTTCCCGAAGATCGTTATATGCCTCCTGCAACAAGACCTGACAAGCGGACAATCGGTGATGTCTCCAAAGAAGACTCAGACTCGGACTCGGACTCAGACGTGTGGAGCGAAGATGGTTCAGAGAAAGACTTTGACGAAAATGTATATGAACTCTGATACATGGTGTTACAACATAGTCAAAATGGTATTTATTGATTCCATAGGCTTCTTTAGCCACGTTTCGAAAATGTTCTCTTGTGCGACGACATCAACACGAGCATAATATGAAGCAACAGGCGTCAGTAAAGCCTGTGCAAGTACCCAGTTGTCCAGGTGTGATCGCGACGGTCGTGTCCTAGATTCATGACGTACCATTAGCAAAAAGTGGCTCTTGAGCGCGCAGCATGTAGGCGCATCTGCTTTGAGCCACTGGTCGAGGCGGCCTCTGGGCTTACGGCGGAGTTTGCCATCCTTATACCGAAGACAGACCCAGACAAAAACCCAGATGAATGATTCAGCATCGTGCCGGTACACGTGCTCAACTGCGCCGTCGATGGCCGATACTGTGAGCAGCTTGATCGCCATGAAAGGTACCGTTCCTGTGCGCTCATTGCCTCTGGCACAATCATCTTGAATGGATGATAAATCATAGTCGTTGAGGACGCCTATCACACGACCGCATAAGAGCCGATAGTACATGAGATTGCTGGGGCTGATATCACGGTGATAGACACCACCTTCCCAGAGTATACGATGACCTAGAGTCACAGTTAATAGACAATAGCTAGAACAAAATCAACGAACACCTACAATTAATGATTTGCCACCATGCATCGCGAAACTCAGGCCCACTTAGGTCTGTGATCGGCTGAAGCTTCCTGAATACGATGATGTAAAAGACTCGGCTGCCCTGCGTATTGTGATCCATTCCTAATGCCTTTCTGATGCGGGCCGTGGATGTCTCATCAAACCTATGGAACCAGACCATGTCTGGGACATGGCCCTTCACCCACGAGTCACGTTCAGCGATCGCCTGCACTTTCGCGAGTATCTCAGGCTCGCTCAAGCGTGCCTCTTCTGGCCAAAAGAGTTTGGCGACCATTTCGGTCGTTGTGTTATGAGGAGGACCAGGCGGGTGTGTATCAGGAGGAGGATCAGCACCGGATGGAGTAGGGTCGACGGCAGATGGTTCATTGGGACGCTCACGTGCCCGAAGCAATTGCGAGAGTGCCTGGCTCTTCACTGGTAAGACGGTGGTTGCACGTCCACGCAGCCCAAAATGAGATGAATACGCATTGGAGACATCTAATGTGAGGTCAACCCGGCCAAGTGTCGGATCGTCGATATAGACAGGGCCAGAAAATCCAGGCTGAGGCTCGAATAGAGGGTGAAAGCCCCACTGCGTATATTGCATTCGCTGCATAGTGAGGAGCAAGACGAGAAAGCGGGGAAGATCCTGAAGGAAGTTGATGCCAGCAAATTGAATTGTATCTTCCCGATCAAAACGCCACATGTAGATCATGTCGTCTGGCAAGAGTCATTAATTGGATAATAAGTCTGAAAAGTAAAGCCCAGACTCACCAACCACTACGTAGGAGACGACGTAAGGCCGTGCGACATGAGCCGCAAACATCTCAGCGACATACAAACCATTCTGGACAATCGCGTCGAGCGCTTTCGCTTCGGACTTGACATCATCCTTCGTGGTAGTATCATCATTGTCCTTCTCATTGTCCTTCTTGGTACGCTTGTTGCTGGACCCGGCCTGGATGAAATGATCAGAACTTCGTTTCAATTCCCCCTTCCCTTGACTTCGAATTCGGTCGGACACACGTCTCGCTGCAGTGTGCATGTGAGCAAGGAAGCCAAAATGCACATACAAGGTGACTTACGCTCTTTTAACGTCCACTCGCCTTTGCCTTGACTTTTAATGCGCTCAGACGCACGTCTCGCTGCAGTACGCTCGGATGCACGTCTCGCTACATTATGCATGTCAGCGAGAAAGTCAGATGCAACAAACAAGGTGGACTTACGCTCATTCAACACGATCTCTTCTTCCCTTTGACTTTTGTTTCATTCAGACGCATGTCTCACTGCATTGAACATGTCAGTGAGGAAGAACGAAATACAACGAAGTGACCTACGCTCTGAACCAGCATCATGTCTTGGAGGGTGTTCGATAGGCGATTCGTCTTCTGACTCGGAGTCACTATCAGGCGGCGGCTGTCGTTTTGCGATTGGATACTCCATGTAATGTAGATTCTGAGGCGCAGGAATGACATTTTAAGCCGAAGGTGGAGGAGGACCGTGACCTGGACGACGTTTGGTGTATTTGAATTCTACTGTCGATAGAACGTTCTTCCATTGGAAGTTCCCATGGGGCTTGTTGCACGCCAGCTTAGTGTACATATCTTTCTTACAATAGCAATCTCCATCTTGCTGCACTTTCTGGGCGGTGTCCCAAGAGACAATGACCACGTCAGGCTTGCGGGAGGACTCGACGCCCTGGTGCATTTGGCGTATGGGCTTGTCGTTGTGATGAAACAGTATGTTATCGTGGTCTTCGGAATCCTTGGAACCCACTAGTCCAGGCACATTCAAAGCGCTCAGTTGAAGGAGCGCACAATTGGCAGCTCCAACAAATGGCTCGTATGAAGGAACTTCTCCAGGTGAATTAATACTTTAGAATTGTGGTGAAGCTCGTTTCGTAGCCACAGTTACTTGAGCAACTCACTATTCTGATAGGAGGTCCTTGATATCCTTGGCGGCGCGGGTCTCGTTGCAGAGGGGTAAGACGGCCTCGAGGCAAGTTTGAAGTAGGGCAGACTCCTCGCATTGACCGAGGGATGCCGAGTCAGAGGTACCAAGTTTGCAGTCACTAAGGATGTTCTGCAACATACAGTCAACATCGCACTTCTTGAAGTTCTGGATATCCCGCGCGATCCATGGGCGGACATCATCTACGCTGCATAGATAGCAAACAATTCAAAATTAGTATCTCTGGAACTTCAAAATATACGCACCCGACGCCTAGAGTAGCAATATGTTCGCTTATAACAGCTGACCCGAGTGCAATTGGGGTGGCCTTGAGTTGGGACAATTTATTGAGTGGGGGGGCGGGGGTCCTTAGCCCGTCCAGAGTGGCAAGAGGGGCTGAAGTGTGACTAACAGGCCTGGGATCTCTGGTGACAGTCGAGCCAGGCGTACACAATGTGGACACAAGCTCGGGGGACTGTATAATCATGGGGGGGGCGTCCCAGTGGCGCGATCAGTAGTACTGCCACCTGGCATGAATCGGATTCAATGATGGTGGTAAGTAAGTAAGAATGAATGTATGCCACGGACTTTCAATTGAGTAGTAAGGAGTTATATTTAGGTCGCTGAATGGTAAACCGATACAAACAAAAAAAATTACAATGTAACCTTAACTTAGTTGTTATATAAACATACCCAAGTGCCTACAAGCGTCTGCATCTTACGTTGGTAACTATTAGCCAACATTACGAGACTTACGGTATTTCACAGAGCTTCCATTTAGTCATAATCTCCCATGACCCGGGGGCATTTGTCTCGTGGTCATGGCAGTCGTCAGCCGCATCATGCTTCCCAGAAGTCCAAAGGTAGAGGTCGAAGTCAATCTACTAGGGCCCAAAGCTCGTTGTCCCCATCATTATCTCCAAGTCCGCCACCCGCTCCAGAGCGAGTTCGTTCGCGCAAGCGCCGTCATGAGGAGTCCGAGTCTCCGACGGATGACTCGGAAGATGACCATAACCATCTCACGAAATCATCGTGCGTGTATCCTTTCGTGAGCAATACTGGTTGTGACGTACTACTGATTGTCTACAGCATTAAAAAAGACACAGATCCTATCAAGTCAAAAGGCCGAATCTTTGGCCGCATGGGTGAGATGTGGCGACCATTCGCCAGTGTCCTAGACGATGGTGTCGGCCGAGACGCCGATGATGATCCCCAGGCTTACACCACTATGTACGTTGACCTTTTTTTTTCTTTCATTTCCTTACGTTTTGCATGGTTGCTTTCCATCATTTACGTTTTTTTTTTCCAGCCAAAACATCCACCATGAGATTTACCGGGAGCTAGTCAAAATAGCTCCCGGTATTCCCGACGAAATTAAGCGTCTTGGAGCTCAAGGCTCTGCGATCATCAGCGCTAAGGTACGTGAATTCTTGAGCGATCAACATCTTGCTGACCAGTTGACATAGTTGGAAGTTGGTCGGCGTGGCTCCCGCAGTGAGGACATAAATTCCATGAAGGACAAGATTGGCCGGTGGCGCACCTTTGCACCACCTTACAATCCAGACCATCGATCCATGCTCGGTTTCAAGCATCCTGACTGCGGAAAGCTTTTGTGCCCTGCAAGTTTGGACTGGAATGATTCAAGGCATGTAGCTTACTGTCACACTTCTAGCATACTGAAACTACCGGCAGCGTTCGATCGAATTTGCGCGACGGCATTACGAAAGCGAGGCCCGACGATTTCCCGCTATTCCTTTACTCAGACGAGCAAGTCGATACTGAGGATCTTTTCCATGGCTTCCTACGGAATATGATTCTTGTTAAGGCTGGTGACGCTCACGTTTGTTTCAATTCAAAGCTGAGCGTGTTTCGTATAGGGATATCTTCACGTCTTTCGCGGCCCAAGTACCGCGACGAATTCAGTACGATCAGGCACATGCAAAGGCAATGCAGCCACTCACTCGATTAATAAGGTTTCTGTTCCTTCCATAGCTTATATTGCCACACTGGTGAGTCGCAACTTGGACAACTTTTGACTCTGTACGCTGATATGAATTTATCAATCCTGTTTAGATCTGTTTCGTCCTTTCCGATCAACCGACGTTCAGCGCTGGAGGGACTTCTGGTCACTGGCCATATCGCACATTCTATCGCACACTTCTGGAGGTTGTCAGTATCATGGATTCTCACGAGCGAGAGGATCTGTTAAATTGGTGGAACGAGTGTGTCATTTTGCTCCCGTTTTCACACCATCCTAATATTTATGTAGCAAAATCTATGCTGACTTTGCGGACCTTGAGGAGGAAAACGATGGCGTGTTGAGTATGGCTACTCGGATGAAAGCCCAAGCTACTTCAGCGTCACGGCCAAGGCCCAGGCCAATGGCTGTCAACCGTGAAAATCGTGACAATGTGCTGGAATCAGTTGGTACGAGCTAGAGCCAGCGAGATGGTTGTCAGTTTGTACTATCATATGCTCAATAATATGTGTTTTATTTGGTTTACATCTTATGGGTATTGTAAGCCTCGAGTGACATTCCAATTTCGCGACATTATGGTAGGTTGATTTTATGGGTGTTGTAAGCCTTGAGTGATATTCCAATTTCGCGACACTATGGTAGGTTGATTGCAAGTGAATTGCAAGAACGACACAATATGTACCAGGATTCCGTTGATGATTACATATCTGTATAACTATTGCACGTATTGCAGCTACATTGCAATGGGGTTATAACATAGGTTGACAAATGGTGGGTGCTCGTAGGCGATTGCAACGATGGCGAGTAGTTTCATCAGTTGGAACTTGATTACGAGCGCTTGGCAAAATGCGGAGTTTTCCCTGATGACTGATCTTGAATTCGTGCCAGCAGGTACTGTCGAGATACGCACCTAGGTTCGACCAAATCTGGGTGTGACCAAATGAACATTAGGTTCGAAGGTTCGCAGGGGGGTGTGACGCGTGACACACTGCGCTTAGGTTCGACGACCAATGTTGGGGTAGACACATTCCCTTGTATACATGCAGCGCTAAGGGGCCGCGGTGATCCTCATGACCCGCGGCTGGAGATGCTCACCTCAAGAGCTTCGTCTCTAATTTGACTTCCGTCTGGCAACATGGCAATGTCTTCTCGCTATGTTATGGTAAAGTCTTGTCAGTGTGGATCCTCCAATGTTTGGCGAGCGAGCCATAGCTCAGTCCACGAGATGGACATGGTCTGAAACATTTCCCATCCAAGTTTTCCACACCATGCCTGATCTCCATGTTGCCTCAGAGGCTAAATTCCAGGATGTGTTATCTGTGCCTGCACAGTTCTCAATTGCTCCTTCGGGCAGCCTTTCCGTCGCTGCATTACTGCTTATCAACCTGCCTACAGTGTTAGAAAACAGCGCTTCAGCTGCTAGAATTGTTTTTTCCAAACAGTCCCCTTTGCTCCAGTTGCCCACGGACTTTGTTTCACGACCTGTTCCGCCATTTCAAACAGCCTCGTCCCTTCGCAATCGTGCTAGAGGTGCATTTCGAGATGGAGATAAATCAGTGATCCATCCTTCATTCCCCAATGACCCGCTTCCAATGTGGGTCATGTCATACTGGGTCGCTATGTCGCATGCACTCGAGAATCAGCGTGATTGGCGCGCATCCCATGACTGGGTCTACGACAGATTTGATGTTGTTCCTACTGACGGACAAGAGTTGGAAATTATTGACGAGGTTCTAGATGTCTTAGAGAGCCTTCCATGGGATGCCCCTCTCAAGGGATTCGGTGCTCAGACAGATCTGAGGAGCACCGAGCTCCAACCACTGTTAGGATCATGTCCAATTCACGGTCGTGTTTTGGACAGCATGATTGCTGTAGTGGTCCAGCATATGCAAGCATCAGAGGATGAAGACCTCCAGTCTGTTTCGGTCGAATCTCTTGACTTTGCAGATATCCTTCGGCTTAGCGATAAACGGTGGAAGAGCTACGAGACGGACAAGGCTTTTGTTCACCTTCGTACCATTGGCTCTGCATTACGCGAGGGTGCACTTCATCGTATCCTCCTTCCCATCAATATCGACAATGTTCATTGGGCTGTTATCGAGGTCGATGCTACAAACCAAAGCATCTCCTATGCCGACTCCCTTGGCTGGAGTTGGCCTAACGAAGACATTGATGCCATACATCGTTGGCTGGGCTATCATGGTTTTGCCAAATTCAACCGGGCGACCACACTCCAGCACGGCAAACAGCTCGACTCGTTCTCATGTGGTATCGCAGCTCTAAACACTATCAAGCATGCCTTGTTTCAAGATCCGTTGTTCACTGCCAATAGAGCTTTTTCCCTCCGTATGGAGGAATTTCTTAATATCGTTTATGATCACCTCGAGGTATGGATATCTCATTCCTGGTGACGCAAATCTGAGACTCACTCTTCATGTGTTGCAGCTCTCCGATCCCAACGACGACCCAAATGACAGCTCATATTCAGACAGTGATGATGTCGAGATACAAGAAACTCAGCTACCATCCCCCCCAACTCTGCCTACGCATCATCCACAGCAAAAACCAAAACTCAACCTCCGTGCCACCAACGCAGATCTGAGCACCGGTCTGTTCAAGTTTTTCTCGACGGTTTCACGCGATGAGCATTTAAAGCTTGCCTGGAAGCCTTCCACTCGGGAGCTCAAGGACCGGGATCAGCAGGAGCAGGCCCGTTGCCAGGAAAAGTTCGATGTGTTTGAGAAGGCTGCTCGAAAGCGTGAAATGGCAGCTGAACGTAAGAGAAAACAGCGAGCCCGTGAAAAAGATGCCAAGCAGGTAAGCATAACTTTCATTCCTATCGCCGTGCTTTATGTCTCACGTGGCCTGTCATCAGAAACCCACCGTAGAATCTGTTCTTCATGATCATACTCCCCAACCGCTAGCAGTCACCATTGCTGAGGCTTCACGTCCATACCGTCAATTGCGAAGGCATGCTCGCAGCATGCAAAAATGTAACTCGGGCCGGAAGCGCAAGCGGGAGGACACAGAGGCTCGTCGTGTCAACTGGCAGAGCCCTCTTTTATGGCCGACCATCGAAACAGCTGCCATTCGTGTCGGCTATGGAATGTCACCGATTGAGATTGAGCGCGAGCTTAAGCGAGTCGATCCCTCCCGCTTTCATGGTATTTCTGCCCAAGTTATAGGAAGGTGGATTGACCAAAGTGGGACACGGCCAGTATGGCGTGCCAGTGTCCTCGCTCGTGTTCAAAAGGGCAACCTTCCCTTGACGACTGCAACACCACCAGGCATCCTTGCAAAGTATCCTGAAGTCACGAAGACCATCATCGAAGATCTCCGTGCTCTGCGTGCAGTTGGCGTGGCTTTGGATACAATGCGTTGTCGTGGTGTAATCATTGCTCGCATCACTGTCTCTTGCCCAGAAATCTTCGAGGCCACCGCCAAGGATGGCTCAAAATTTCGATGTACTGAGTCTTGGGTCAAGAAATTCGTACATCGAACTCTCAATT